CCTAGAGAAGTCCCTTGGCAATCCCTTCTCCTCCAGGACATGATCCAAAATGAGTAAACTACTCTTCCTCCCCATGTCCCAGGCATTTTCAAATTGCTGTTTCTACACTGAATCTCCATGGGCTTTTTTTAAGGACAGGGCTCCTTTTTAAGGGCTCCATGCTCTCTTTAAGGGCAGGGACTCCACTTCCTGTTGCCCTCCAGGCTCTCCCAGAACCAAGTCCACTGATTTTTAAAATTCTGGGCTTTAAGTACTATTGGTTTTAAGAACTGATGAAATTCAAAGCCAAACGTTATGGTTATCTGTCTTCATTGAGTGAGCTTCCTTCCAGGTGTAATCATCTGTTCCTCTCCCCATGGCAGATGGTGACACTGTTTTGCTCCCCACTGCATTTCTGCCCCTCCTACCCTCTCCAGTGTGGTCTCTTCTCTGCCTTTAGTGGTGGAGTTTGTTTTTCCAGTCTTCAGGTCATTTCCTGGGTTATTTATGATGTAACTGTTATCTAGTTGTAGCCATGGGACGAGGTGAGCTTAACATTCCTCTTACTCTGCCATCTTCCCAGCCCTGGAATATTTCTTTTCTTCTCTCTTTTAAACATTTATTTAGTTATTTTTGAGAGAGAGAGAGAGAGAGAGAGAGAGAGAGAGAGAGAAAGAGAAAGAGAGAGCAAGAGAGCTCATATACTCGTGAGCAGGCTAGGGGCAGAGAGAGAATCCCAAATAGGTACCATGCTGTTAGTGCAGAGCCTGACACAGGACTTGATTCCATGAACTGTGAGATCATGACCTGAGCTGAAATCAAGAGTCAGACACTTAACTGACTGAGCCACCCAGGCGACTCTTTTCTGTTCTCTTTTCTTTCTTTCTTTTCTTTTCATAGGTGAGGTCCTTCCTTTCGAACTTACATTTTTTCCAACTTTATCCAGATACAATTAACAAAAGCTGTGTCACTTTAAGATATACAATGTGTATCATTGATTTTATATATATATATAGTGAACTAATTACCACAATAAGATTAGTTAACACTTTCATCACCTCACAGTTACCTTTGTGTGTGTGTGATGAGAACATTTAAGATCTACTCTCTTAGCAAATTTCAGTTATATAGTATAGCATTGTTAATTACAGTCACCACACTGTACATTATTAGATCCCCAGAACTTCTTCTCTTTATAACTGAAAGTTTGCAGCCTCTTACCAACATCTCTTCATTTCCCCTGCCCCCAGGTCTTGGCAAACACCAGTGTACTCTTTTTTTTGGAGTTCAACATTTTTAGATATCACATATAAATGAGATCATAAAGTATTTCTGTTTGATTTCTTTCAGCATAATGCCCTTAAGATTCATTCACGTCACAAATTGCAGGATTTTAATCTTTTTTTGTGGCTGAATAATATTCTATTATATATGTACCACATTTTCTTTTTTTTTAAATTTACTTTTTCTTTTTTGAGTATAGTTGACACACAATGCTACATTAGCTTTAGGTGTACAACTTAGTGATTTGACAAATTTATACATTATGCCACAAATATAGCTACCATCTGTTCCAGTACATCACCATTACAGTATCATTGATTGCATTCCTTATGCTGTATCTTTTATTCCCTTGACTTATTCATTCCATAACTGAAGGCCTGGAGGCCTGTATTTCCCTTTCCCCTTCACCCATTTGGCCCAGCCTCCCCTCCCCTCCCCTCTAGCAACCATCAGATTTTCTCTGTATTTATAGGTCTGACTCTGCTTTTTGTTTGTTTATTCATTTCTGGGGCTTTTTTTAGATTCCACTTGTGAGTGGAATCATTTGTCTTTCTCAGTCTGACTTACTTCATTTAGCATAACACACTCTAGGTCCATCCAGGTTGTCTCAAATGCTACAATGTTGTCCTTTTTTATGGCTGTGTAATGTTCCATTGTGTGTGGAGATATGGAGATGTACATATATCTCCATAATTTGGCTATTTGTAAATTTGGCTATTGTAAATAATGCTGCAGTAAACAGAGAGATGCATATATCCTTTCGAATTAGTGATTTTGTATTCTTTCGGTAAATACCTAGTAGTGGAATTATTGGAGCATATAGTATTTCTACTTTTAATTTGGGGGAGAACTCCCATACTGTTTTCCAGAGTGACTATACCAGTTTACTTATTATTTCTTGTCCTTTTGAGTTTAGTCATTCTGACAGGTGTAAGGTGATATTATGGTTTTGATTTGTTTCCCTGATGATTAGTGATGTTGAACATCTTTTCATGTGTCTGTTGGCCACTTGTATGTCCTCTTGGAAAAACGTCTATTCAGGTCTTCTGCCCATTTTTTATTCAGATTGGTTTTTTTCGGTGTTGAGTTGTAGAAGTTCTGTCTGTATATTGGATATTAACCCTTTATTGGATATATCATTTGTAAATATTTCTCTAATTCAGTAGGCTGAATTTTTTTGTTCGTTGTTTCCTTTGCTATGCAAAGCTTTTTATTTTGATGTAGTCCTAATAGTTTATTTTTGCTTTTGTTTTCCTTGTCTCGGGAGATAATATCTAGAAAATGTTGCTACAGCTAATATCAGAGAAATTACTGCCTGTGCGGTCTTCTAGAAGAGATGGTTTCAGGTCTCACATTTAAGTCTTTAATCCATTTTGTGTTTATTTTTGTGTATGGTGTAAGAAGGTGGTTCAGTCTCATTCTTTCACATATAGATGTCAAGTTTTTCCAGCACCATTTTTTGAAAAGACTGTCTTTTTTCCATTGTATATTCTTGCCTCCTTTGTCATAGATTGACCATGTAATTGTGAGTTTATTTCTGGACTCTATTTTGTTCCATTGATCTATGGTCTATTTTTGCGTTATTTTTTCTTGATAATTTTCTTCTCAAAGTCTCTTTTCTGTCTTCCAGGAAATAATTTTAGCTATATATTGGATCTTCTAGATTGATCCTCTGTTTTATTTTAATAATCCTATTCATTTCTTTGGCACTTAGTTCTCCTTTATAGCTATCCCTGATTGTTATTTTCCAACTCTTCTTTTTAAATTTTTGTCATATTTTGTCTTTTTTAAACTTACTTCATATTTTCTTATTATTTCTTTTTTAATAGTGTCCTATTCTTATTTCACAAGAATCTTGGTTCAGCCTTATCCAAGATTAACTTCATCTTTTGGAATGAGGAAGCACAGAGCCTGGTTGTGGGTATTAGAGAAGGAAATCTAGGGGTCTTAATTGAACCCCTTCAAAATTTTTAGCTAGACCTCTTTTTTGCAGTACCAACCCTATACCCATCTTTTGAGATGATCAGTACCTTCAGTTCTCAGCTCTTTCTGGAGTCCCACAACACTAGTGGGCTTGCTGTTTTGTTGGTAGCCTGTCTGCCCATTTCAGGCTTAGGCTTTAGCATTCTCTGGCCTGCTAAATCAGTTATCCCCTTGTGTACCTTATTTCCACTTCTAAAATTTTACTGACCTCTCTCATCATCTTGTTACTTCCTCCCAATTTATTTATCGTTTGGTTTGATTTTTATTCCTTTGTTCTCATTTTAATAATGCTTTAGGAGACAGCAGAGATAAAGTACACATTTAATCCATTGCATGTAAATAGAAGTCTCCAAATATTTTTAATTCCTCATCTAGAATTGTCTTCACAGCCTATATACCAGTGACCTGGACATAACTAGTTTTCTTTCTTTATTCCTTCGTTTTTTGCTACTAGTAACTTGAAATGATAGCCCTGACCTGTCAAAGAGGGAATTTGCTATTGCTGACCTAGCACTTAGAAATCCTAGGTAAGGGGCTTGGGAAAAGACATAGGTTGGTATGATGGGAGCATTTTGTAGATGCATCAAGAAACAAACTGACTAATAATCCATGTGTGTGCTGCCGCCTGCCTGTGGTAAGTGGGTATAACTGAAAGAACTGTAAATATAAATTACCCTAATTTGGATAATACTGCCTATAGTTTTGTAGTTTAGTTATTTAATGGTTCCAGGAAAGACTTCTTGAATATATTCATATAACGTTGGAACATAGTTCTCAACAAATCTAATGTTGATGATAAGGCTTAGAGTTCAATAATACTTAAAAGTTGGTCTAGTAGAAACAGTGAGGGAAGAAGCCTTTAAGTAAATCTAAAATAAGATCTCATATCTGTGCATTATGGCATTTAATTACGTTGAGTAACAGTGATGTTGGATAGCAATGGGCTATAGACCTATGGCCCTACCAAGTAATTCTGAGTTCTGAATATATCTAGAACTGATTGATCAGATCAGGCCATTCCAAGAAAGTGGATGATAACCTAGGAATGCCCTGGGGGAAGTCAGTTGGAGAGAGTCTGATTTAAAATGACTATTCTGGGGCTTAAGTGAACTGAATAGTCCATAGTAAAATATTGCCCCATTTTTGGAAACTAAGAATAATGCTAGTATTTCCCCAATTTCCTTGTGATTATAAGGTCTCACACTGTTCTTTAAACTGAATTAAGATTCTTCTAACCTATTTGGGGGGCTGAATATGAATCAAGCCTAAGGAGTAATTTGTTTTCTTTCCAAATGCAGAAGTAACTAATGAGAAATGTCTTTATTTTGATGGGATGTTGGTTACATTTATTAAAACTCAACCTTTTCACATAACACGTATAAATTTTATTGCATATAATTTATACCCCAATCAGTTGATTTTAAATGAGTGTCTTGTGGACTTCTAGACTTTCTCCTACTTAAATTGTTTCATGTAGCATAGTGACTAAACCCTAGTAGAAGTTTTGCCTCTAATAAGCCATTTGACCTGGATTTCTATGACCTCTCAAGTTTTAATTCTCTGATCTGGATAATTGAGATTTTAACACTACCTACTTCAGAGAGTTGTAAGGATTAAATTTTTTAAATGCATAAAATACTTAGCATAATACCTGGCACATAGTAGATCCTCATTATATAGTAGCCGCAAATTATTATTAACAATTACTATTTACATTGTCATTTCTCCTTTGAGTTCTTTTTATATTTTCACAGAAAACCCATATAGACAGCTGCCCTGTAACTGTCATGGAAGCATGCCTGGAAAGACAGCAATAGAACTTGGACCTCTATGGTATGTGCTTAAGCATAAGAATATACAGATGGTTCCTGGCTTAGGATTTTTTGACTCTATAGTGGTGCAAAAGCAATACACATTCAATAGAAAGTGTATTTCAAATTTTGCATTTTAATCTTTTCCCATGCTAGCAATATGCAATATGGGTCCTCTCTCATGATGCTGGCAAGTAGCATTAAGTCACAGTTCCCAGCCAGGCAAACGATCATGAGGATCAACAACCAGTACACTTAACAACCATTCAGTTTTCCACTTTCAATATAATCAATAAATCATATGAAATAATCAACACTTTATAAAATAGACATTGTGCTGAATATTTTTTGCCCAACTGTTAACTAATTTAAGTGTTCTGAGAATGTTTAAGGTAGTTAGGTTATGCTATGATGTTCGGGAGGTTAGTTCTAGTACATGCATTTTCAGCTTGTAATGGGTTTATCGAGACATAATTCCGTCATAGGAATTATGTTAAGGAAGGCCAGTATTCAAAATTGATTTACATATTGATTTATTATGTGTGGTAAAAGAACAAATTTCAATCTAATTTTTTTTTAAGTCTAGGTAAATAATTATAATTCTTCTACTCCTGTGAACCTAAAGTGTTTTCTGTTTTCAGATTTTTCTATACCATTATTTTCACAAGTTTGTGACACTGCTAAGAGATGGTGAGATCAAAAAGAGCCTGGCAGGGGCGCCTGGGTGGCGCAGTCGGTTAAGCGTCCGACTTCAGCCAGGTCACGATCTCACGGTCCGTGAGTTCGAGCCCCGTGTCGGGCTCTGGGCTGATGGCTCAGAGCCTGGAGCCTGTTTCCGATTCTGTGTCTCCCTCTCTCTCTGCCCCTCCCCCGTTCATGGTCTGTCTCTCTCTGTCCCAAAAATAAAAAAAAACGTGGAAAAAAAAAAAAAAAAGAGCCTGGCAGACTGCAAACTAGATCATTCATTTCTGAATTAGTAAGAATGAGGCTTTTTTCAGCTGACAGTTTGCAGAACTAGGATGTGATTATGAAATGATCACCGTAACTTCTTATAGAAGAGTCAACTGATATAAGAAGTCTTCAAGAAATTAGTTTTAAGTGTGAAGGACATGTGAAAGTACATGCTTTTGTTTTAGGTAAAGCTGTTTAGCTGGGACTCACCTGCAAAGATTTCCTCACTCAGAGCCATTGTTCATGTCTTTACTCTCATGCACAGTCTCTTCCCCTTTCCCCAGATCCAGTTCAAATTGTGTCCCCTTGAAGTTTCCGGTGTTTCACCCAAAATTTCTAAATCCCATTTTAGTAAATCTCACATCGATCATTCATTTGACACTTTAAAGTCATACATCTTTTCATATGTATTTGCTAACCAAATAGTAATAGCTGTCATTCATTGAGGATATACTTAGGATTTTCTGTGTGCTATCTCAATTCCCATAACAAGACTGAAAAAGTTTATTTTCTATTTTGTGATGAACAATAAGAGACTCAAAAGCAGTAATTACTCAAGATTACATAGATAGTAAGTGGTGAAGCCAGCATGTGAATTCAGGTTTATCTGACTTGGAATTTCATATTCTGTCCATTATACCGGTCATTCTCAAATTAAATGGGAAGTCGATGAGACTTACCCTTGTGCTATTTTTTAACTGAATCACCATCAGCACTGTAATTCTCCTATACCTACTGTCCCACCCCACTTTACCATACACAAGGTGGATTAAGATTTACTGACAAGAATATGCATTATGAAAACTTATGTTTCACACTGTGCGCCTGTCTAGGTCCTATCTAGATTTATAGGCTTTTATAGGGTAAACACTGTCTTTTATACTTTGGTATATCTTCCACACCCGTATATACCACAGGGCTAGTAGTCTTTCACACCTTACCTGAGGGCTCAATAAATTCTTTGTTGATTTACTGTGAGTGAAATTTCCACAACTAATCCCACTAACTTAGAGAAATAACATGATAAAAGGTGTGGGCAAATAGAAAGTAATTTTAAATTAAACCATAAATTCTTGTGACACCTGGGTGGCTCAGTTGGTTAAGCATCCAACTTCGGCTCAGGTCATGATGTCACGGTTCATGAGCTCAAGCCCCTCATTGGGCTGTGCTGACAGCTCAGCGCCTGGAGCCTGCCCTACTTCAGATTCTGTGTCTCCCTCTCCTCTGCCCCTGTCCCCCTCTCAAAAGTAAACATTAAAATAAATCATAAATTCTTTAATTTCAGCATTTACTCCATCCTATAAATTAAGTTAGTTGTGATTAAATTATGGAGACTTTTTTTAAGTTTATTTATTTTGAGAGAGAACATGTGTGGTGGAGGGCAGAGAGGAAGAGAGGATACCAAGCAGGCCCAAGCAGGCTCTGCACTCAATGTGCAGAGCCTGATGGGGGCTCAAATTCACGAACCATGAGATCATGCCCTGAGCCAAACTCAAGAGTGCTTAGCCAACTGAACCACCCAGGTGCCCTGAGACTTTTATTTTTAATAGACATTTCTCAAAGCCAGTTCTATTTTTTTTTTTCTTTTCCAGGTCAAGTTCCCTTTTCAATACTGGATTCCTCAAAAGAATGCTATTTGAATCTCTTCATCATGGTTTAGATGACATTCAGACCCTAATAAAGACATTAATCTTTGAATCAGAGTGTACTCCTCAAAGTCAGTTTTCAGTTCCTACGCCTTCAAATCTCAAGCAAGGTGACATTTACATTCAGGGCCTGAAATGAGTAACAATTTTATTAAAATATACATATATTTTTTTCTCATTTTAGTAGACTAAAAGAACTAAAAGTCTGTTGTGGTTTTATTATCCTATACCTGCTTTATACAGAGAGAAACCTTGGGTAATTCTGAGAATAGTGTGGTCGAAAATTTTTGTAATATCCATCGAGACACAGAAGCTATACACTTTCACTCATTACAACTGTTTTTTGTCCTTTATTTTCTCTTTGGTATAAAATAGGCTTTTGTAGTTTTATCTGGCTGTTGATACAAGGGTGGGCCTATTAGACATTCTAGTTAAGTCATTAAAAGCAGCAGCTATTGTTAGGCAGTTAAAAATGTAAACCTTGTAGCCTGTTTTTACCACAGAATCTCGTATTTCATAAAAGCAGTGTGTATAGAATTTCGTAAGCTTTTATTTAAAGTTTGAATTGTTGCTTAAGGTCATTCTGTAAAATATTTTGTTATTCCCATGTTTTTATTTTAGAAGAATGTGGTGTGTTTATTAAAACTACAGATGATACCACACCAGATAACTACATTGCACAAGGTATGTATATGTCCGTGTGTATATATGTAAATATGTATGTATTAGTGCCAAAACGCAGTTAGAAGGGCAGGAAGAGATTGCTCTGGTGGCCTACTTTAAAATGCTTCTTTACCGTATTATACTGACAACATAACTATAGTAAAACTTGTTTATCTGGCATTTGCACAGTTCAGAATTTCTATTAACATGTACTTACTTGTTCACATCTCTAATATATGGTGATCCCCTTGAAAGAACTAGAAGACCTTGAAGAACCATGTGAACCAAACTAAGCTCAAATTATATTTGATACAGTAATAAAGATTCAGTTTTATTCGAATTCTTTTAAACTTTCTCATCAACATACATCACAATTCCATTAACTAACCATAAGACCCTGTTCTCTAGCCATGAAGAATTTACTATATAGCCTTTCTTATAATTTGGGATGTGTGCATGCACACTTTAAAATATGGTTGTATTAGGGATTACAAATTCAAATCCAAAGGATTTTAAGATTTATGTCAGTGTCTTAATGTCTAAGTTTTGTTTTGCTCTTTAAAAGCTTAGATTCTAAATGTGTTTTGAATACTAACAAAAAGAACTAGATAGTGTTAAGACAGAAGAACAGAACAATGCCCTTTCATGTCACTAATGTCATTTCACAATTACAAAGCTAAAATATGTTCCCAATTTTCAGAAATCATACTTCTTTCCACATTGATCTTTTATTACTAACTTTTGAGAATTTAAATACTTGCCTGAGATAGAAATACATTTTTCTTGTAAGTTTAAGGTCAGATGACTAAAGTTAGAGTAAGATTTTGTCAAAGTAAATTGAGGCCATTGTAATAATTGTGCACAAGCACTGAAATTCTGAAGGAGAGTTTTTGCTGTAAATTAAATTGGGTGATTTCAAGTGCCTCAGTTAATGCACGTACAATATTCCTTTGCTTGTTTTGTGCTACCTGTGAGAAGTAAAACTTGCCACCTTTTATAAAGTGAGGATTTGGTGGGGAGAGGGGATAGATTTGTTTTGCTTTCAGTGTGTGTAAGTGCTCATTTTTTGTGTAAGTAGCCCAGGCTAACATGACCCCTATACTGGAGGACAGTCGGGCGGCCACATCCAGCCAGCATCGGAGGATACAGTGGCTGACAGGGTTGAAATGTCAGTGAATGACAAAGGACAGGATTACAATTTTTTATTAGTTGCTCAACATTTTAGTGTTGATCTTCAAAGCCAAGAAGACTTCAACTCCTTTTAATAGTATATGGTTTAATAACTACTAAATGCTCCTTCCAATGGTCATGTTTAGTTGGCATCTTCAACTAATTTGCTAACATTCACAATTCTACTTAATCCTCAGTTGGGAGAGTAAAGGCATTATGGTACATTGCAATAAGCATTGGATTTAAGAGCATCATTTTACTCCTGTCTGTTGTGTAACCTCAGCCAGGCCACTCACCTTCAGCAGGGGTGTCTTAAATCCTTTTTAGAATAAAGTAAAATATAAGTTTTAAAAATAAAGTATCTGAGCTGTTCTTATATGTAAAGAGAATCAGACTAATCTCTATGGGTTCTCAAAAATTATTATAAGATTGATCAATATTTAAATCTTTCACAATAGAAAATATCAGGCCAAAAAGAGTCATTATTAAGGTGTTCTGATTTTTTGTATGTGTATGTTTCAGGAAAAAGAAAAGGTAATGAAACAGTCACAACTTTAGCCAAAAGGCAAAAGACTGATGTCAGTACTGAACATCCTCCCTTTTATTACAACATCCACAGACACAGCATTAAAGGAATGAATATGCCAAAGTAAGACAACCAGTGAATGGCAAAATGTATATATTTTAATGACATTGTGATTTACATAAAATACAGAACCTTTTTTTTTTCCTTTCCTTCCTGCAGGTTGAAAAAGTTTTTGTGCTATCTTTCTCAAGCAGGCTTTCGAGTGAGCCGAACTCATTTTGACCCAATGGGTGTTCGTACAGATGCACCTCTGATGCAATTTAAATCGATCCTTTTAAAGTACAGCACCCCTACATACACGGGAGGACAGTCGGAGGGCCACGTCCAGCCAGCATCCGAGGATACAGTGGCTGACAGGGTTGAAATGTCAATGAACGACAAAGCAGAAGCCAGCAGTTGCAGAAGATGGTAAATGTAGTCAAGAGTTACTCCAGATGTCTGTCTAGATGGCCTGGTAGTTCTCTATACCAACTGTAATTCTTTTTCTATTCTTTTAATTCAGTGGTGTAAAAATAAAAACCAGTGCTGTTTTCATTCAGAAAATTAGCAGTTTCTAACTTAGCTAGTTTGGGAGCTGTGCTTTCCAGTTTTTTCTTATTGTAAAGAAAACTTAAAATTTTAATGAAAACATTTCATATGAAGCCAGGTTTATGACTGAGATCACCCTACCATTTAGTAACTCAGAAAACTTTCACTTGCAAAGTGTTTGGAATTTTATATATGTTATGGAACCATCCTTTACTGTTCTTAATCACATGTCTACTTAAACTGATTCATGTCTTTCTGTTTAAGCACACAAAATGAAGCCAAAAGCCTTTTACGTATTACCCTAAATAGAACAATGCCCTTTCATGTCACTAACATTATTTCACAATTACAGAGCTAAAATGTGTTCCCAATTTTCAGAAATCATACTTCTTTCCACATTGATCTTTTAATTTATTACTAGCTTTTGAGAATTTAAACACTTGTCTGAGATAGAAATGTTTTTCTTTTAAGTTTAAGGTCAGGTGACTGAAGTCAGAGTAAGAGTTTGTCAAAGTAAATTGAGACCATTGTTCTAATAGTTGTTCATAAGCACCGAAATTCTGGAGAGTTTTTGCTGTAAATTAAATTGGGTGATCTCAAGTGCCTCAGTTAATGCACGTACAATATTCCTTTGCTTGTTTGTGCTACCTCTCAGAAGTAAAACTTGCCACCTTATGAACTTACAAAGTAAGGATTTTTTGGGGGGGTGGTGGGAGACAGATTTGCTTTGTTTTTGGGTGTGTGTATGTGCTCATTTTTTTGTATAAGTAGCCCAGGCTAACATGACTATGAAAATTAGTAGAAACTCCATTAATAAATTTTGTTCTTGCTTCATTTGAATGTAAAAGTTTGGATAACAGGATTTGGTATAAAATTTAGATTTTTGTCTCAAGGACTTAATCCATATTTACCCTGAATTATTTTTTAGAGGAAGTAACTTTTTATCTGAGCATAAAGCTTGGGGGATGGAGAAGAGTTATAACTGAAAAGGTTTTAAATACACTATGGAAGAAAAAAAGCACACCCATGACATATTTAAAGATCCAGGGAGTGAGATCAACATAGTAGATGAGCAGAAATAAAAAAAAATTCTTTGTGTTATTATAGCATAGTCCTAGGAGGATGTGTTTTCTCCCATTAGTAGAATCATATTTAAATAAACGAACAGATGAACTGCAAGTGATATACTAGAATGACCCCCCAAAAAACCCTGTAACTTTTGCCAGTTAAAATTATTACAAATGAGCACAAAAAGAAATAAAAGTTATTACTTTTTTGTTTATATACTTAAAAATTACTATAAATCCACAAGGCAAACCAGCGCTTGGACCATCTGTACATATTGTTAAATTGAGTATCCGTCTCAAATCTTGCCAAATGCTTATCAGCATGACATATTTTGATCAGTGATAACGTTGGGCTTTATGCCAGGAGCCTAATTTGATAGAGAAATAATATATAAATTACTGTTATTTAAAATATATGTTGTGTTTTAATTTCACATACACAGATTTTCCAAAGAAAGGTGTGGTGAGAAGTAGTCAGGAACTCTGTTAAGGTAATGTTATCAACCTAAAGAGGAAATACTTTTAAAATTCCAAATAATGCTACATTAGCGCCTTGTCCCCATTAACTACTGTGGTAGTTTGGGGCATGCAGATGTTGAGTGCATTGTAAAATAGTATCAGTTGTACTGCTCCATTAAATTTTGATTAATACAAGCAGCCAGTTTTTACTCTACCATCAGGAAACCAGTGTGTTGACTCTGCTAGCTGCTTACGTCACTACTCTAACCATACACTCGAGAAATAGAAGAAGGAAGGAAGGAATGGGGTTGGGAGCCAACGTGGTGGATTTGGGTTAAAACCCCGTTTATCACCTGAGTTCAACCAGACTCCACTCTGAATAAATGCATGATGTTCTGGTTTCCAGAAATCAGAACTTAAGACCAGTTCAGTAATCCCAAAAGGTCTAGGAATTTCTTTCCTCGGTGCATAATTGCTCTGGCAAATGGCCCAGGTTACTCTGGAGAAGGCTAAGAGGAAAATACCTATCATAGCCTTGTGATGTTTTGGCAGGGTCCTTTCTCAAAGTGCTCTGAAAATACGAATTAAATCAGGCCTGGGAATTGCTAAGGTATCATGACAACTATTGTGGCTCAAGTCAGACCTGTAGTTTTCAGTTATATAAATCAAGTAGGGCCACTCTGGCCCTTTAGATCACATGACCAATTAGCCAAAGCCAAAAAAATCCTATGTCAGACTATACTGATCATCCTGTCAGTCCTACTGACTGACAGTAGGACTCTAACTATGTACACCTTTCTGGGCCAGCAGTTAAGGGAACTAAGTTTCTGACACACTGCTGCTTGGGCAATGTCCACTGAATAATCATCTTCCACAGGCATCCCTGGCCAACTGACATACTATTCAAGGATGCCCTGCTCACCACTGTATTTCCCAAGCCTAGGTAAAGAGAGCTGACCAGGCTCTTGTGAGATATATAGTGAGACAGTGGTGAGCAGATCACACATAAAACATTCTCTCCAATATTCCCCCTTTTAAGTCTTTGATTTCCTTTCTCTACATTATATCACAGCATTTCTAGCATCTTCCCTCCAGTTTAGATGAGCCAGTCCTGAGTTTTTCTTTCAGTCAGTAAACAGAGCCACATCCCACAACATCCCACAAGCTGACAACTGTGCCAGAAATTTCGGGTACAAGTGTACCCATATCAATAATTTAACCCAATTTAAAATTACATTCCTGCAAGACCCAACATAGTCTATTTCCACAGGTATACTCCACATATCATTAGTATATGATCAAAAAAGCATTCTTTCAGGTCACACTTAGTACTTGTCCCCAAGGACATGCTGGGATCTGACTCTATATCCTGCAGGCAATAAAGGATTGTAGCTACCTATACAGCAAACGGGCTGCTTTTTGCAAGGTAACTAACTCCTTGAAGTGCACTTAAGGGGTCATCTGCCAAGCCAGCAGACATCCAAGGAGCTTCTTCCATTTTCAGTGAGGGTTAGTGGCGTTAAGGATTTAGGATAGTCATTCATCCAAATCTTTCCAAAATTTTTATTCCAATTCAAAGAATATTGCTGTTTACTGACCAGTATCTTTACTCTCACTTGAAAGACTCCACCACACAGCAAATTCAGCCAATTTACTAGAACAAACTTTCTATCCAGTATCTCAGGCTTAAAGCTACAGGGGAGGTTGGAAAAGTGAGCACCTCACAATTTTAGTCTCCATACAGAGATTGATTTTTCCTCTTTAGGGAATTCACAAAGCCCAGGAAGAGGTTACAAAGGCTGAACATCTTTAAAAAAAAAAAAAAAAAAAAAAAAAAAGGTGGGGGCACCAGAGTGGCTCAGCTCAGTCTATTAAGTGTCCAACTCTTGATTTCAGCTCAGGTCATGATCTCAGTTTGTGGGTTCCAGCCCCACATCACGCTCCGTGATGACAGTGCAGAGCCTGCTTGGGATTCTGTCTCTCTCTCTCTCTGCCCCTCCCCTGCTCACGCTGGCATACTCTCTCAAAATAACTTTAGAAAAGTATTAATAAAAAAAACAGTGACTGCATTTGTCTACAACACCTTGTCATCCACAGCTATATGATCCCTTTCTCTGCCGCCACCCTTTCCACACCCAGAAAGGACCAACACCCCCCCCTTCTAGCCTAAAGATCCTTTTCTAGCTCTCAAGTGTAGATAAGACTGTTAACTTTGAAATGTGAGTAAACTGAATCTGAATTATCCCCAAACTGTAAACTTCAACCTACTTTATAGGAATATTTCCTATATTTCCTAGGAAGTGGCATATTAACTGCAATAGCTTGTATTTATGAGATTTAGCACTGCACAGTGTTGTTTCTACACAGATTATATCCTATAAATTACAGCAAGGCTAAGCGAGATTAATTTATTCAATGCCATTCTAAAACTGGCAGGTGAGGGAGCCAGGACCCAACCCCAGGCCTTACCAAAGTGCTCTTGCTTTTAGCCACTTCATGATCTATCTTCAGCAAAGGACATACATATGTAAGACAAAAGTGGAATCGTAAAAAAAGTATAATTATAAAAAAAAAAAAGTCCCATAGAAAATTCTGATACATAATTATTACAAAATTATAGTTAACCACTAGCCTCCTGCACATTTTCTATCTGAAACCCTTTTAACCAGTATACCTTATACTCAATAATTATCAATACATATGTGGAAAGCACTTTCAGCTTTGTTTCCATCTTCTACTGCCAAGATTTTCCCAGAACATAGTTTTTGATTGATAGCAAAATCATGGCAAACTACAACTCCAGCATTTCTAGGGACTTTATGCTGGAAGGGAACAGAGTCATCTCACCAGAAGTATGGGGCCCCCTCCACTATGCCTGGTGTCCCAAGTCTCACACAACTCTGGGTCATTTTCTATAGAGAACTAATTGCCCTTATCCTACTGGAACAGTGGAAAGAGTAATCTGGTGGTAAGGGAAAGTTTCTGTGGGTCCAAATACTCCTCAGACACACCATTAACCTATCCCATTTTCACACCGATTTTGCTGGAAAGGCAAGCCAAAGTCTCCAATTGCTAAGCATTTTGTAGATGTTTTCAATCTTCCTCCAACCTGCTAAATCAGTTACCACCGTCCATGTGAAAACATCTCACTTCTCAATATGTTGACAACACCCATTATCTCCACAATTCTTTTTTACCTGAATTTATTCATTAAAAACCCAAAAGTATTCCTTTGGCATCTTAGTGGTGTTTGGTTTAAACTGCGCAGTTTAGGGGGCACCCGGGTGGCTCAGCTGGTTAAGCCTCTGACTTCGGCTCAGGTCATGTTATCACACACACTTCGTGAGTTCGAGCCCCATGCTGGGCTCTGTGCTGATAGCTCAGAGCCTGGAGCTGCTTCGGATTCTGTGTCTCCCTCACTCTCTGCCCCTTCCCTGTTCATGCTCACACTCTCTCTCAAAAAAAAATTTAAAAAAACAAAAAAAAATTTAAACTGGGAAGTTTTACATTTCAATCCACAGACTAAACAGAGAAAGTACATTTTTAGAAAATACCTTTTGCCAACTGGAAGCAGTACTGCCTTCAGTGTATTCTTATTACTGGTCACCAAATAAAATTGTTATTTTTTGTTAAGAGATTAATTTAGCATAATACAGTACTTTCATCTTTACCTTAGGAATTGCCTGCTAAATGTGTCTAGGCCCCTCAGTATTGATGTCTCTCTAAAATTCATGTTTAAGTACTCAGATGTTTGACTATCACAGAATGTGGCTGTATTTGGAACTAAGGTAATTAAAGGTCACTGGGGATGGGCACTAATCTGATAGGACTGGTGTCCTTAGATTACAACACACAACATGCACAGGAGAATATGTGAAGACAAAGGGAGAAAATGCCATCTACAAGTCAAAGAGAGAGGCCCCTAAGGAAACACCACCACCTTTGATCTCGGATTTATAGCCTCCAGAACTGTCAGAAAATGAATTTCTGTTTAAACCACCCAAACTGTGGTACTTTGTTATGGCAACTCTAGTAAATTAATATAGCCACCTAAAGAAAGTAGAGACTGATACTGAATGTTATATACTGGAAGAAAAAGCACTTACGATTTTCAGGGGTTCAGGGGTGCTGGATGGCTCAGTTGGTTAACCGTCCAACTTCAGCTCAGGTCATGACCTCACGGTTTGTGGGTTTGAGTCCCGCATCGGGCTCTGTGCAGACAGCTTAGAGCCTGCTTTGGATGCTGTGTCTCCCTTTCTCTGTCCCTCACCTGCTCTCACTCTCTTTCTCAAAAATAAATAAAACATTAAAAAAAAAAAAGTTTTCAGGGGCTCATTTGAAAGAAATTTAGTGGAACGTTAACACTGAAGAGAACTCTCCAATTACACCTTGCTAAAATAATCAGTTTAGCTACACAACTAATTTACTTATGAAGTCAATTCCTAATTAAAATCAGAAAAGGAAATTTGTGATTTCCAGCTTTAAACTTCCAAAAGTATAGCAACTAGGGGAGAATTTCTTTAACAGGAAAGAAATATAACGCCATATTCAAAAAGACCATAGTTTTACACCAAATAAATAATCTGTGGTATAAAGACATTCTAAGTATGAAAATACAACATTAAATGTTTAAGCTGGAAGAAACTCTAGACACTAATACTTACTTGGACCCAAAAGGCTAGTATGGTTAGACCAGAGTATGTTAAATGGCACAGAAAGTTGTGTCTGTAAAAGACTTTTCTAGAAAAAAGAAAAACTTTTAAATAACCTTATTGAGGGAGAAGGCATCCACCATAAAATGCACCCTTTTAAAGTATTAAGGAATGATTTCAGGGATTTAGAATATACAGAGTTGTGCAAGTTATCACCACTAATTTTAGAATTACTAATTTTCACTACCCCAAAAAGAAACCCCATACCCATTAGCAACCAGTCACTCCCTATTCACTCGTCCCCCAACCCTTGGCAATGACTATTTTCTGTCTGCCTGGGAGAACACTACTCTATCTTCCTGGAAGAAGTCCTGTATTAACTGTTCTAGGTTAATGGATTTGGCATGTTAGTGGGATTTTGGTTTTCAGATGTGTCTGCATGCACACGAGATACTGATCTGTAGTTTTGTAATGCTTTTGTCTGGCTTTGGTACCAGAGTAATACTAGCCTCATAAAATGAGCCTCATCTTATTTTTGGAAGT